CATTTTCAGAGGTACTTCCGTGGTGTTATCTTTGAGCGCTGGGGGTGGGAGAGCCTCAGAAACAGTCATTAGGGCCTTGTCCATCTGTCCTGAAGGAGGAACTTCAGGCTGGAGTTCCAGGGTCTGCGTGGGACCCCATTCCATTTTTGTGCCTGTACAAGCCACACTGAATTCTTTCAATTTATCCTTTTCACTTTTTGGAGGGAAAGGAGTCAAATCTACCTCTTTATTCAAGCTCTCTGGACTGCTGAGATCTTTACTTTTTGCCTTTTGGACCTCACAAAAGCTAAGCTTGTGTGCTTTGTCCCCCACTAAATCGGGATTTTGAGCTGGAACGGGGCCTTTGTTGCTCTCCTCTTCATTCACCGGAGATGCTGGTAAATCACTTCTATCTGCAAGTGCCTCTCGTACCCTGACCTCTGGCTCCACGCTTTGGGCTGCTGGAGGTACTCCAGGAAAAAAGGGCCCTTTTGCTGGCTCTGCCATTTGCTGTATTGAATGCTTAGGAGCACCACAGTGCACTGACTCTGATTCCCTGACCCCACGCCCTGCACCCATCCCTGGTTCAGTTTTCCTGGGATCAGCAGGCTCACCTTGACTTTTAGGACAGTGATCTCCATGACTGTTAACTCTTTCTCTCTCTGGGGGAAAAGCCAGACAGACTCCTTCTGTACCTGTAGAAGGCCTAACAGCAGGGGGAGCCTCTGGCCTTTCTGGTCCCAGGACTTGATCTTTGTGACAGGTCTCTTCTAATTGGGAAATCTGGGCGGGAGCTCCATCTTGCCCACTTTGTGTCAAAATATCATCCATCCCCTTTACTACATGAGCAATAGGCTTGGGCTGGTTTTCACAGGCTGTGGATTCCACAGCATCAAGAGGCACTGACTTCTTCATTGGCCCTGCTGGTATCCCCACACAGGTAAATGTGATGTTTCTATTTTCATCTACATAGCCCATTCCTTCAATTCTGTGGTCCCCTGTGGTTTCCATGGGAACGTGTATTTTTGCTGCATCTGTCTTCGCCTCCAGAATGTGCTTCTTGGGAAAACTATTTTTAACCTTTTCACGTGTCCCATCATTATCCCTTTTATTTGTTTCCTCAGCCACGGTGGCGTGTCCCTCGGCTGCGTCTATTTTGCTCTCCTTAGATATTATGGGGGGGACAAATGCTGCACCCTGAATTTGGTCTTGGCGGCTCACATCTGTCCCCTTGACCGCTGGTTCAGTAACAGTGGAATCCTTCACAATATCTGTTTTCTTTCCCTGGACTGCCCCAAGGTCAACAGAATTAGCCTCAACGTTTTTACGTTTTCTGTCAACTACTTCCACTGTGGGTGGATCTGATGCATGTGAGAACAAAGGATCGGGCCTTTCTGGAAAAATCAGTCCTGATTCCTTGTTTTTCTGGGAAATACTACTCTCAACACTCTCGTCCTTACCTACAGAAGGGAGGCTGAGGACCTGCTCCTTGCCCTCCATTCTGGCCGGCTGTATGGGATAATTACTTTTAGCCTTTTTGTTTTTGCCTTCGTGGCCCCTCTTTTTAGACTTTTCAGAAACCCAAGGAGTTGACTCATGGTCTATCCAAGGACACATTCCTTCCTTGCTTTGCTTACTGACACCCACATTTTTAACTGGGGCTCCTCTTTCTGTCCTGGCATCACAAGTCTGAGTTGAACTTGACCCATTTTCCAAAGCAATCGATTCCTGCAGGGTACTTCCAAACTCACGACCCGCCATAGCCTTTGCTACCTCCATTACCCCTGTCTCAGTGAGATCAGTGACGGCCCTTGGTTGCTTTGAAGAATCCAACCTCTGCTCCTCTCTCTTCTCTTCAGCTGTCATGGTTTCAATTTGAGGGACTGGCTCACTAGGCATGACACCATCCTTCTCATTGCCTAGAAGAAATGACACCTCAGACTTTGCTCTTACCTTCCCAGAACTCACTCTCCCTTTCCCAGGGCTTCCCTTTCCCTTCCTGCTTTTGCCTTCACCCATCATTATTCTCTTAGGCCGCTCATCCTCTACCCCAGAGGCCTGCGGTAACATTTGGTCCTTGGGCTCAGAGGCAAATACCTTGATTTCCTCTCTTGGCTTGGCAAAGACTTCCTTTGTCACTTCTTTAACCTCCTCCTTGGTGCCTTCAGGAGACTCTTTCTGTTTGGCATTCTGCACTTTAGTAATTTTACTTGCATCACTCCCTTCTGCTACACTATGGTCTAATGGATTACTGGCTGTCAAAATGGGTGTCAGATTAGGTAGTTCTTTCACGGCTATGGGCTTTGAAACCCTATCTTTAACCTCTTGGTCCAAGATAGGAGAGCAATCCTCTTTGGGTCTAATCTTCAAAGGTGTGTCCATTCTGTGCACTCTCTCTTCTTCTAGGGGTACTTTCAGACTAGGAGGGTCTACTGTGTGACTTGTCTGCACAGGTGTTTGTGGGTGGGACACATGCAGTAGTTTGTATTCACTTTGCTTCAGCAACTGCTGCTCCTGTTGTTCTAGGGCTGATTCGTTGTTACCTTTGCCCTCCTCCTCTACTCTTGAAATTACTTCCGGTTTTGGAGATCCTTCTGGACATGAAGCAAGCTTGAGACTCTCTGAGATAAGGTTCTGGCCCACCAGTTTGCTTGCTGTGGAGTCACGAACGCGTTCGCTTCGCCAATTCTCTTTGGGTACGAGGCCATAGTCAGAGCCTACATTGGGAGATTGGCTGGAGAGGACACCCGATGGAGGGGGGCCGATTGTGAAGGGATGACGTTTTGGCTCATCGGCAGGGTCCTCCGGCCAGTGACCTCCGCCCCGAGGTTGAGGATATCTCTTTTGCTTTGGTTTCTTTTTCTTTTTCTTCACCGCCATTGGCATGCCTTCTTCTACATCCCATGCCTCCCTGTCATGCTCTCTCTGGGATCCAAGGAAGTCAGCATGGATACTTTGCCTTTGGTTCCCAGGTTCACAATAGGAACCAGAGACCCAACCCAACTCAGAAAAAGGGCAGGGGCCCAGCCTGGAATCAGGAATCTTCCAAGGAATAGAGCCTCCCGGCAGCTCAGAAGGGAACCTGGCAGGCTTGGACCGAGCTGACCTGCGGTCACTGGGTCTGTAAACTGCTTTGCCTTGTGTGAGAGGGGTACCTGAAATACATGAAGTTGCCTAAAATTCTGAACAATAAACTCATTACCGTTTCTTTAAAAAAAAATTCATGTAGTCACTCATTTAAATAGTCGATTTTCACTGATCTGATCTACTTTATTCAGAAAAACTTTTTTTTCTATTTTTTCCCCTAAACATTATCTCAGGCAAAGATTTTTTTCAAACATATTTACAAAATACTCAAGTTATTTCAAATATTCTAACCTCTAAGCACTTGTTACCTATGAATTTCATTTATTTATATTTGTTGTTTTTAATAGGTACATAGGTGCCTACTAATGTGCCTTCTGTAAAATGGTACTCACTAAAGGCTTGTCTTTTTGTGTGATTTTTGGACAAAATTTATAATCCTAAGATTCTATCACCAAAATCATACTAATTTTTGTCAAACCAACCAGAGTGATTCTGGGAATTAGACCAGAAGGCCAGATTCATGCAACTTCAAAAAAAAAAAAAACTGAATATTTTGGCCAGAAGAAAATTCTCATTATTCCAAAACCAGAACATATTACTTTGAAAGACAAATGCACTAAGATTTCAATGTTCTGTTTCTAAATGTACTTCCTGAAAGATAAACACGTATTCAATATTAAGCAGGTTAACAAAAATTTCAACCATTAGGATAAGCATCCTTTGAAAAGTTTCAGGAAATAATATAATACAGATCCAAGCTCTTGGAAAGAGTCTCATTAAGACCAAGTCTAACCCAGGTACAGTGGGGCATGCTTGTAATCCTAGCTCTCTGTAAGGCGAGGAAGATCACCAAGTTCAAGGGCAGTTTGGATTACAAAGTGAAGCACTATCTCAAAAAAACAAAGCAAACTAAAGTAAAATGAAGTACGCAGGTCTATAGCAGCTCCTATTAAATTTGATCCAATGAACTGATTTCCAGGAATATTAAAATTCCCAAATAGCATCATGTTTCTTACCTTTATCCCTCCCAAAGGCCTCTTAAACTCTACCTTTAATATGTCAGGTTAATTATCGCTTCTTTGAAAAGCAAATTGTGAGGCTACATGATCCCATGGTTTTCACAACATTTAACTAGCAGTTAACCAGCAGCTATTTGACACAGCATCTTTTATTTTTTAATTCTATAAATCTTGTAGAGGTCATTCATAGAAAGTTCTTTTTCCATCCAGGTTGTAATAAAAACTCAAGGACAAGAACCAGGACTTGAATATATACGTGCCTTAATATGGCCTATTTTGTACAGAATTAGTATTTAATAAATCTTTACTGACATGTCCAGATGGCAAAAACATTTTGAAATTCTCTTGTTTAGCCTCTAGTTGGTGCTAGAAAGTATGTGAAGCACTAGGATTCTAAGTGAAATAAGTCATGTCCAATCACAATCACAGAAGAGTAGGCAGAAAAATCAATTGTTATTCATGTGTGTGTGTATGTACGACTTAACATCAAAAACTTAATCATCAAACTTTAAGCTGGAAAGTATCTTTAGAACACTATGTCTCCAAGTTCAGTGCATATTAAAAATTAGAAGAATCTTGTTATGGAGACAGGATCTTGTCTTGCTTTGTATTAGAGTGGTTTTGAACTTACTATCCTACTTACAATTTAGCTTCCTGAGTGCTTCAATTACAGGTATGAGCCATTATACTTGACTGAAGATCTGGTTAAAATATGGATTATAATTCTGAAGTTCTGTTCTTCCTCTCTTCTCTCCTTCCTCCTCTCCCCTACCCTACTCTTCCGGTACCACAGATAGAATACCCATGAGTCAGAAGTCTGAAGAAAATGGGATTTGAGACCAGGCACTGGTGGTTCACACCTGTAATCCTACGTACTCAGTAGGCTGAGATCTATAGAGCATGTTTCTAACTTACCTGAGGTCTCTGAAGGAAGTTCAGAAGGAGGACTGCTGAGTGGTTCCTTTTGTTCTAATTTCTCTGACAGAGAGTTTTCATCTGTTGGCAAGTTATACTTTTGGCCTGGTTCTAAAGATAATGGTAAAAATCATGTGTAAGTTTCAGAGAGATGCACTATTTGAGCTATTTTTCTATTTACCAGAAGCAAGATGAGAACCGGTTTTAAGAAATTCTTCTAAAATAAGCAGCAGAAAAATGGATACATAATTGGAAGCCACCAGGTTAGGAAGGGAGAAAAGTAACAAGTGCTTGTTAAGAATATTGTTAGGGGGGCTGGGAAGGTAGCTCAGTGGTAGAGCGCTTGCCTTGCATGCATGAGGCCCTGGGTTCGATTCCTCAGCACCTCATAAGCAAAAAAGAAAAAAGCCGGAAGTGGCGCTGTGGCTCAAGTGGTAGAGTGTTTGTTGAGCTGAAGAGCTCAAGAGACAGTGCTCAGGACCAGAGTTCAAGCCCCACCACCACCACCAACAACAACAAAAAAGAATATTGCTAGGAATCCAAGCACAGGTGGCTTGTGTGTGAGGATTGTGCCCTGAATCTAGCTTGGGCAGAAAAGGTCCATATGATAAGGGAGGAAGGAAGGGAGGGAGAGAAGCAAGCAAGCAAGCAGCTAACAGGGCAGGGACATGAATATACTTACAAAGCATTCAAACAAGTTCACTGCACCTGGTGACTACCCTGGCAGATAGACATACAGAGAGCAAGCAGAAGCACATACCTGGTGAAATCACGAAAGAAGTTGTGGGTGACTGCCTCTCGTCCTGAGGAGATTTTTCCTGGAAGTTCTCACTTATTCCTTCCGGGGTCTTTGCAATTTCCATGTCTTTAACTACAACTGGGGTCACCTCTTTCTCTGTGGGTGGGGTGGCATTCTTGGCTGGGGTCTCATTGTTGGCGAGGGTCACTTCTGCGCCAGGAGACAGAACCACATCCTTGACCAGGGCTCCCTCTGTTTCTGGCAGGAGAGGCAGGTCCTTGACGGAAGCTACCTCTTTTTCTGGGGGTGGGGTCATAGTATCTACCCAGGTCATCACTGTTTCTGGGGGTGTAGTGATATCCTTGCTCAGGTCCACTTCTGGTCCCGAAAATGGATGTAGGTCTTCAACCTGACCCACCTTTGTTTCAGGGGGCGGAGCCATTTCTGTTTCTGGGGATGGAGTCATGTCCTTGACCGGGGTGACTTCTGCTTCTAGGGGCAGTGTTACATCCTTGGTCAAGAGTGTGGTATCAGGGGACAGTGTCATGTCTCTTTCTAGGGCCACCTCTGTCTGTGAGCTCAAAGCCGTTTCCGCAAAGGAGTTTTCTGTGGCTGGTGCAGTATCCTTGTCCAGTGCCCCTTCTATTGCTGGAAGTGATATCATACCCATGGCTGGGGCTATTTCTGTTTCTTGGGGTGGTACCTTGTCGTCATGTGAACCCGAATCCACTTTTACAGAAGGAGCAATCTCTGCTTCTTTCAATGGTGTCAAATCCTTTCCTGGGGCTACCTCTGTTTCTGGAGGCAATAATACTTCCTTGGCTGAAGACACATCTGTTTCTACAGGCACTATGACATCCTTCACTGCAGCCACTTCTGTTTCTATGGGCAGTACCATGCTCTTGGCCAGGGACAGATCTGATTCGATGGATGACTGCATATCCTCGACCAGTGTCACTTCTGATTGGGTGGGTTCATCCTTGGCTGTAGCTAATGCCATCTCCGTTTCTGTGATTGGTGCCATGTTCTCTTTTGAGACCACCTCTGTTCCTCCAGATGGTACCATGGCAGTGGTCTTCTGTTCAATCATTTCCAATGTTTTTGTTGGTGGCTGGTCCTCTACTGATGCCATTTCTACTTCTTTGGCTAGGTTGTCAAAGGGAAATAAGTCAAAAACTTAGGACCCACACCTCTACATTTGGAAATAATTTAAGTTCTGTAAACAAAAGACCTATACATGATTAAAAATTGAATCCAGGAGTCAGTGGCTCATGCCTTTAATTATTTCTACTCAAGAGGCTGAGATCAGGAAGATTTCGGCTTGAAACTAGCCTAGGCAGAAAAGCCCTTGAGACACCATCTCTAATTAGGCAACAAAATGCTAGACTAAAGGTGTGGTTCAAGTGGTAGAATACCAGCCATGAGCAAAAAAGCTGAGCAAAATCACAGGCCTTGAACCCAACCAAGTCCTGGTACTAACATACACCCCCCCACACACACATACAATTTGTTGAATTAATGTATTCTGATAGTCTTTTGATAGTTCTAACACTTAGAATAAAATATATGAAACCAGTGCCACAGTCTCACACCTGTAATACTAGCTACGCAGGAGGCTGAGATTTGCAGGATCAAGGTTTGAGGCCAGGAAGGGCAGAAAAGTTTGCAAGATTTCATCGCCAAAATAATGAACAAAATAAATGGACTGGAAGGCATTTTTGACTAGCAAGTCCAAGTATCTTAGTTCAAATCTCAGTACCACAAAAGAAAAAGGGAAAGGGGGAAGGGGGAAGGGGGAAGGGGGGAGAAGAAAGGGGAAAGGGGGAAGGGAAAGGGAAAGGACTGAAGAAAAAACAGAGAGAGAAAATACAGGCTTAAGAAAAATCAGGGGCTGGGAAGGTGGCTCAGTGGTAGAGTTCAGGGTTCAATTCCTCAGCACCACATAAGCAAAAAGAAAAACAAAAGCCGGAAGTGGCACTGTGGCTCAAGTGGTAGAGCACTAGCCTTGAGCTGAAGAGCTGAGGGACAGCGCCCAGGCCCAGAGTTCAGGCCCTATGACCAGACCCAAAAAACAAAAAAAAGAGAAAGAGAAGGAGAGAAAGAGAGAGAGAGGAAGGAAGGAAGGAAGGAAGGAAGGAAGGAAGGAAGGAAGGAAGGAAGGAAGGAAGATGAAAAAATAAAAAAATCAGAATTAGAAAAGGAATCTGTAGGAAGCTGGGCGCTGGTGGCTCACGCCTGTAATCCTAGCTACTCATGAGGCTGAGATCTGAGGATCGCGGTTCAAAGCCAGCCCAGGCAGGAGAGACCGTGAGACTCCTATCTCCAATAAACCACCAGAAAAACCGGAAGTGGCGCTGTAGCTCAAGTGGTAGAGCGCTCACCTTGAGCTGAAGAGCTGAGGGACAGCGCCCAGGACGAGTTCAAGCCCCACAGCCAACCAAAAAAAAAAAAAAAAAAGGAACCTGTAGGGCAGCTAGTCATTCTTCAAAGAAGAAACAAAAAACAACAACAACAACAAAAAAAACCTATCCAGGTATAATCTGTAACTCTAGATACTCAGGAAGCTGAGAAGTAGATGTTTGTGGTTCAAAGTTATCCAGGCAGGAAAACCCATGAGACTCTATTCCCAAAAGAACCAGCAAAAAGTCAAGCTAGGCATGGCTCAAGTAGAAGAATAGCAGCTGAACAAATAAACTGAGCCATTGTAAGGCATGTTGTTCAAAAGGTATGGTGCTCAAAATTTACATTAAAAATCTCAGGTTAGAGGCATGGCTCAGGTGATAGAACACCAGCCAATGAGTCAAAGTCCAATCTCAGACAAAGCAAAATTACTGTAATAATCAATCCTCGCTACTCAGGAGGCTGAGATCTGAGGATCAGAGTTTGAATCCAGCCCAGGCAGAAAACTCCCTGAGACTCTTATCTCCAAAAAATTACTCAAAAAAGTTGGAAGTGGTACTGTGGCTAAAATGTTATCTTGCCTTTGGCAATAGAAACTCAGGAACAGTGCCCAGGCCAGAGTTCAAACCTTAAAAAGGGCCAAAAACAAAGCAAAAAAAAAAAAATCTCTTTTATCCCTTAATCCCAACTTTTATGTTTCCACTACAATTACTGTAGCTATGATACTGCTAATAACATTAAGAACATTTGTTACAGTTTCCAATTTTTTATTTGTACCTACTGTAAGCTGTTTAAAAATTTTAATAATTTATATTATTGAAAGTACAACCAAGAATAAATGAAGGGGGTTTAAATAAATTACCTGTTGACTGTGAACTCTCAGCAGTGACTTCAAGGGAAACAAAGGACTCTGACTGTGGAAAACTTGGAGCTTCTACAGACCACTCCTGAGGTACCACAGCTGTGGGAGCAAACATGTCACAGGAAGATACACCTAATAGTGAAGTACAAGCATATTTTTAAAAACTTAAAACTGGAGAAAAGTTAGATATTTTAAATCATCAACATATGTTGCCAAGAAGCCCAAGAAGCAATGACCAAGAGAGCACTAAGGTTTAAATAAAGAAATCCTGCTGATATTCTTCAGGTATTAGGTACTTGTTAATAGGCAGTATACTATATCCCGGTGGCACCATTAACCTACATTTATTAGCTGCTTTCTATTTTTGGGGGGGATTTTTTGGTGTGTGTGTGTGTTTTTTGCCAGTCCTGGGGCTTGAGCTCAGGCCTGAGCTCAGTGGTCACCCTGTCTCTGAGCTTCTTTTGCTCAAGGCTAGCACTCTACCACTTGAGCCACAGTGCCACTCAGCTTTTTCTGTGTATGTGGTACTGAGGAATTGAACCCAGGGCTTTGTGCATGCTAGGCAAGCACTCTACCACTAAGCCAGATTTCTCAGCCCTTTATTAGCTACTTTCTATATGGTAATATAAAATTCAAAATACAGAAGACTGAGCTAGCAAGGCACCAGTGGCTCACACTTGTAATTCTAGCTACTCAGGAGGTTGAAGTCTGAAGAATGTTTAAAGCCAGATGAGGTAAAAAAGTCCCTGAGACGCTTATCTCTAAATAGCCAAAAACCCAGAAGTTGTACTGGTGGCTCAAATAATAGAGGGCCAGCTTTGAATAAAAAAGCTAAAAAACAGCAACCAAGCCCTAAGTTCAAGCCCCAGGACCAGCACCAAAAATAAAAAAAAAAAGCTTAGGGAGAGTGTATTCTGTTTCAGTCCATAAGCAAAAAATAATGGACACAGAGTTTGGCCCTATGTTAGAGAACTCAAAAGTCCTATGAGAAAAGGTCAGTCTTCCCTGAATAGCCCAACAGTAAATTTTCTCTACTTTGCTACTAGAGACCCTAACAGTCCTTCCTTTTGTTTTATGTTACAATTTCTCCAAAAAATTATATGTATTGTTCTTCAAAGATGTATTATAAAATAGACTTCTAGCTGACGACTATAATCCCAGCTACTCAAGAGGCTGTGATCTGAGAACTGAGTTCAAAACCAGCCAGGGCTGTATCTCCAACTGGCCACCAAAAACAAGCTGAAGGTGGAGCTGGGCAGGGTGTTAGCCTTGAGAAAAAAAACTCAGGGACAGCACCCAGGGCCCTGAGTCCCCCCCTCCAACACACACAGAGTTCTAAAGCTACTTATTGAGATTATTCCTTACCTGTATACGCTCCTTACATATGAAACTTATGTTAAAACCTTATCTCTATTATTATATGAGCTCCAAACAAGGCAAACAATGAATCTAAAATATGCAAAAGAGCCAGGTACCAGTAGCTCACACCATTAATCGTGGCTACTCAGGAAGCTGAGATCTGAGAATCATGGTTCAAAGCCAGCCCAGTCAGGAAAGTCTGTGAGACTCTTTATGTCCAATTAACTACCAGAAAACCAGAGTGGTGTTGTGGCTAAATTAAGTGGTAGAGCATTAACCTTGAGCAAAACAGTTCAGCAATAGAGCCCAGGCCCTGAGTTCAAGGCCAAAACTGACTGACTGACCACTCCTCTCCCCCCACACACAGCAAAAGAAAGTGGTTTTTCCTTTCCTCTAGAACAAATCTAGTTGAAGTCATACCATAATTACCTTCCACAGGAACATTTTGCCCTGTAAATGTTTCAGCATTTGTAGTTTCACTAGAGAGAAAGAGCAAATCTCCCAAGCCATCGTCATGGTGCATCTTAAAGGGATCTGTAATAAAAAAAGAATCCAGGCTGGGAAGGCGGCTTAATGGTAGAGTGTCTGCCTAGCATGCATGAAGCCCTAGATTCCATTCCTCAGTACCACATACACAGAAAAAGCTGGAAGTGGTGCTGTGGCTCAAGTGGTAGAGCGCTAGCCTTGAGCAAAATAAGGTCAGGGACAGTGCCCAGGACCTGAGTTCAAGCCCCAGGACTGGCCAAAAATAAAAAAAAATCCAAAATTCATCCCTATGAAGATAAACATTTCTTGCTATGCTATGATAAAAGAAGGTTAGTTATATTTTATTTGGCTAAGTTCAGGTAATACAGGACATGTCACACAGGGTGAATGATAAAAATGTTCATAGCCAGGTGCCAGGGACTCACACCTGTAATCCTAGTTACTCAGGAGGCTGAGATCTGAGGGTCACAGACTGAGACCAGCCCAGTCAGGAAAGTCCATGAGATAACCACCAGAACACCAGAAGTGGAGATGTGGCTCAAAGTGGCTCAATACTAGACTTGAGCAAAAAGAGCTCAGGTACAGCATCAAAGCTCTGAGTTCAAGGCCCATGACCAACCAAAAAATAAAAAAAGTTCACTAATTCTTTTACTATAAGCTGTGTGTGTGTGTGTGTGTGTGTGTGTGTAATATAAAACCCTTAATTAATTAAGATTTGATTAGCCAGGGGCTGGGCAGGTGGCTCAGTGGTTGAGTGCTTGCCTTGCATGCCTGAGGCCCTGGGTTCGATTCCTCAGCACCACATAAGCAAAAAGAAAAAAGCTGGAAGTGGCTCAAGTGGTAGAGTGCTAGCCTTGAGCTGAAGAACTGAGGGACAGTGCCCAGACCCAGAGTTCAGGCCCCACGACCAGACCCAAAAAAAAAATTTTGATTAGCCAAACCAGACAGCCAATAAATATATAAAACCAAAAAGAAAATTAATGACCAGCTCTAACACACTAAGAGGTAAAGTATAGAAAATGAAAGTTTTAATAAATGCTTACAAAAAAGCTGTTTGTTTGTTTTGGGGGGGGAGTGGTCAGTCGTGGGACTTGAACTCTGGGCCGGGGCGCTGTCCCTCAGTTCTTCAGCCACAGCACCAGTTCCAGTTTGTTGGTCTTTTTTTTGGGGGGGTCCGGTCGTGGGGCCTGAACTCTGGGCCTGGGCGCTGTCCCTCAACTCTTCAGCTCAAGGCTAGCACTCTACCACTTGAG